ATATATATATATATATATATATATAAATATATATAAATCAGCTCCCAAGCTGATTTTGTTTTTGTTATATGTAAAACTACAAAATGTACTTTCTGTTTTTGTTTCAGGAGGGAATCAGTCATGTGGTATTTAATGCTCCTGAGACAGAAACTGTGAGGCAGCTTAGGATTTAGTGTTTAGCTGAAGCAGAGAAGGAATGTCAGTACTGATTGTTGGTCTTTAATGGTGTCAAAAGAATAAGGAACAATATTATATCTAATATCTGTAAATATTGATATTGGCCTAGATTTTTGGGGAAAAAAAGTGGGAAATGGAAAAAAGTCAGAAAAAAACATCTATACATATACTCCTACTAGTAAAGGTAAAGAAATATACACTCTATATACATTGAGAGTAGAAGTAAAAGAGGTGAGAGACTATTTACTGTATTCTACATGATGTCGTATCAATCCACTGAATTTTCGTTTAGAAAAAGTGGCTTATGTGACAATAATTACTCCTGGCTTTTTTGAATAGCAGCACATACTGCTTCTTATTTTCCAGGCTGGTGTTAAAAGCTGTTGAGGGATTGTTCCTTCAGAAAATATTTACTGTTGCTTTAAGATACTCTTCAATGTTTAAGCAGGAAGAAACAGGAAAAGATTGATCTGCTCGGAAATGCAACTCTCAGTCCCCCTCTTCGCATCCTGATTCCTGGACCAATTTAGCTTTCAAAGCTCCTCTATTCTCCTCCCAGAGCTGTGCCAAAAGCAGCCGCTGTTCGGTCCAGTTCGCTTCTCTTAAACATTTGTTTTTTTCATTGAATATTGTTTGTTTTCCCAAATCAAGCTGCTTTAAACAAGCAGGCAGTAACAGAAAAATGACAGCAGGTGATTCATTAACATTAATATCAAATAGATGACGTAGCACAATTACCAATATGAGGAGTAAACGTAACATTAAACAAATAGAAAAAAAAATGAAGATGTATATAAAGTAGCTTCAAACATTTTTATGCTTTTAACTCCGCTAAGATTGATCATAATGAGACAAATTTCTTAATCCAGTCTGAATTTTATAATCGGTTAGTTTCTCACATTTGAATGCTATGTTAAGGTTTGTTAGATACAGAAATAGGTTCATCTTATGTATGCTTGTTTCTGTTTAAATATCAAATAAAATCTTCTTTTTTAGTTTCCAAGTATCATATCAGCAGATGTCCATCCCTTTCCCCAAGATGTTTTCATTTCAACTGGTAATGAAAACATATGAATAAAGAAACATTTACAATGCAATAATAGTGAGTTTTAGAAAAAGAAAAGGAGTTGCAATTTTATATGTAAATTATAAATACAAACATTTATATACAAAGAAGAGACTTCCTGCTGATGAGGTAATAAGTCAATGATCTACGCCTCCTTTATGGACACTCTTTAACCCATTGAAGAAAATAGGACAACTTTTCTAACTGCTGATAAACTATACAAACCAATGTGAGCTGCCTCTTTGGTGTAAAATCAACATCAAAGAAAGTCACTGGAATATTCCAGCAGAAAAACTAGCACATGGCTTTTGTGTTTTTTGCATACTTTCTTCTCTGCAGCCTTTTTTAACTGGAACCCATAAGATTGAACATATAACCACAGGATTGGCTGTATATTCTTGGATTGATTTTAAAAAACCTTTAATTGGTTTTTAAAGTTTTAAATGTCTTACCCCCGCCTAACCCCAAGATCTTCAGCAGGACCGCTCCATTTCTGGAACTATACGATCAAACAATAAACTACTCCTACAAGTTAACAGAACCAGATTCTAAAGCAGAGAAGTTCCTACATTTTTCTGTTGCTGCAGCAAATATGTCGCCTCAACCTAAGATCTGCCCAAACTTTGCATCATTTTAAATCATTCCTAAAAGGTAATTTATATTAGGATAGGCATACACTGTACCATTTTTTACCCTTTTCTCCAGTCTTGTGTCGAGTGTAGTGTAGTATATAGGCGGTAACGAGGGGCGATTAGCCTCTAAACCGCCTCCATCAGGAATCGTAAGATTGGGAGAAAATCAAACATGTTTGATATTCAGTCGGCCTTCGTGAGGTGTTCCTGGGTAAATCCTGCTGTGGAAGCTGAGCTGCGAGTGTCTATGAGCTGATTTATAGGAAGCTTTCACACTGCACATGTGCAAACAAGGGAGTTCTTCTTCTTCAAGATTGAATAGTCAGATTAGCACCATCTCTTGGCGCTGAGTCAGACGTGGTGATTTGACAAGCAGTGTGAGGAATTACATCACATCAGAGCATCAGGTTGTACTGTGTAAGTACATACATCGTGAGCGGGGAACTTTTAAACCCTGCAATTTTTGTCAGGACTCCTGTTTTGTGTCTGTGTTTCTGTGTTTGTCTCCCTTCATCCACCAGGAGGCGCCTGGTTCTGGTACGCTTCCTGACACACCTGCGGATGGTTTCCTCGTTAAACAGAGAGTTCATAAGCTGCTGACTGCCACTACTTCGACGCCAGAGTGTTTGCCAGTTTAGGGTATTCTAGCCAAGCTGAGTTTGCTGAGTCAAGCTGAGTTTTTGTCAACCTGTGTTTAACTTTGTTTTGTCTTTGCCTCTTGGCAGGAAGT